AAATGGATCATTAAGTTAGCCCTTTTGGTCTCCTGAATTCCCTCAGTGGCAAAGGAGAGCTCTGGGTACGTGAGAATACGGGTCCCACAGGCTCTTACCCAGATTTTCAAACCCCAGAACATGAAGTCATTGCTTTTCTGTAAGAGGTAATGACTGTTTCTCTAAGGCTGCAGAGTCCCACTGACCCCGACCTGGGTGAAAGGAGTGCAGAATATCGGCACAGCTTCCACAGGCTTCTCTACTCTCTCCTTCCAACCTGAGGAGGAAACAGGACCTCAGAAACTACGGGAGCCTGTGACCTCAGGTTGCTCACCCTCACGGCCAGACACACCCTGGAAAAAACTGGCCAGGTCTTAGTCTTTAGAAGAAAAGGAGCCTTGGTAAAGTCCAAGGCGTATTATTAAGTTCCCAACTGAGCCACCAACTCCCAAAGCCAGGCCTCCTCATAAAATGGAACCAAAGAGAAAAACAGACAAGTCACACAGGGGACACAGCCCTGTGTGTACAAGGGAAGACTCACATCCAACACAAAAGGTGTGAGAACAGTGATTTGTGAGGCCCGAAGCTGCCCGAGGCTCCCTGAGCAGGACGTTCTGGAGAGGAAGGCCTTCCATGGGGCTGCTTATCAAGCAGTTCCAAATCTGGGACTTAACCAGCAGCCTTTGAGTACAAAGAATAGGGTCTGGCATGGTGCCGTGGGCCACTCCTAAAGAAAGGAGCAGAGAATGTGTGTGGAGAGGAAACCCTCTGGCCCCTTGAATCAGGAGTTGGATCTTTGTTGTTGAAAATCCATAAAGATTTTCTGGGCAGGGAGAAGTCCTGTTCCCTTAGCAGATGCAGGCACCTGGCCTCACCTCTCTCCAAACCTGTCAGCCTCAGTACAAACGCAGCTGGCTGTGCCAGAGCCAAGCTGTCTGGGTGCCAAAGGTGGGAAGCCATTTCACGCAGGCGTCTCAGCCTCCTGCTCAGCCCAAAGGGGAAGTCAAGCTGGGTCTGGGCGAAGGGCAAGCAGGATGTGAGGGGTTTTGCCATCGTTTCCCCCCAAACCCATACTCTGCCCAGACCTGGACTCTTATGTCTCAAGTCTTCTCGACTGGGCGGTTTTCTTTCTAGAAGTGTGCTGCCCTGCAGTCAAATGTGCAGCCATACATGAAATGGAGTCGGAGAACCAGGCTGCAGCCATGCAGCAGCAGAAGGAAGATAGAAGGGAGGGCGGTGTGTGGGTTCTCAGTGTGCCCAGCACATCTCTGATTTAAACTTCTACATGTAGAAATTGCTCCCACCCACCCCACCATTTCAATCTACTCTGAAGGAATGACTAACAACAGCTACAGCTGGAAGGGCTTCTAGTACTGTGGGCACTCTCACTGAACCTCCCAGCAACCTCAGAGGAAATGAGACCCTGGATGGTGCTCTGACCACCAGGCTGTCCTACCACAAATGGCTGAAGGCAATGAAAACTGCTCCAGGAGGGCATCCCCTGGTGGCTCAGTGGTTGAGCACTGATCTGTGAAGCTGCCCGCGTCCCAGGTCGCCAGCGAGGGTCCCACATGGCGCACAGACCTCTCCTGCCACGCCCACTGCTCCCCTCAGCAGTGTATTTTGTTGGTCTGCCTGTTCTGTTCCCCGCCCTGGCTCTGGTGAATTCTCTCACCCTCGTGCACTTCTGATTGTACCCAGTGCTTGTATAAATAAATAAATAAATCTCTAAAAAAACAAAACAAAACAAAAAAAAACATAACTACGCCAGGAGTCGGGCCCCAGAGGTAATGGTCAACGCAAGCTCTGAGCACAAGCTGGGTGACCAGTGCGCTTTGAGTGGATGTGTGAAAATCCTATGTTTGCAGGTGGCAGGGAGGGACGGGTGCCATAGACTGGGTTTTAAGGTGGTTTGCTCTGGCATTGGTTTTATGGGAAACTGAGGTCTACAGCACTAACTCCACCTGCCAAATCACTGCTGGGGACAGGTCTCTGCTCATGTTCCCAAGAAGCCTCCCTTAGGTTCAGGTGACACCATTTCTTAGAAAATAAAGTCATGCTATTTTTTCCATCAGGGAGGGTGAGAGGCAATAAGCAAGGGGCAGAGGGAGGGAGGAACAGGGTCCTCTCAATGCAGGCCTAGGAACTGGGGGCTAGGATTGGTGGTGAGGGACAGAGCGGGCCCTAGTCCTGGCTTTCCACTTGACAGCGCAAAAGTTACTGCAGTGACATCAGATGTCAGGGCTAAGATGTTGGTCCATTTTTTGCAGGGTGGAAGGCAGGAAGTGTGTGAAGGAAATGCAGAAACGACCGAAACAGAACTTGTGAGACAGACTGACTGCTGGTTTGGCTGTGGGCATCAGAGGCCCTACTTGAGGAGCTCAGGCAGTATGGGCTTGGCTGTCACCCAGAGAGTCTGAAAGGGATGAGAGTGGTGGGCCAGGGCAGAGCATCCCAGCACCCCCATCACCCCTGTCACTGAGGTAAGCTGCTTCTCTCTGGATCCCTGCCAGACCATCCCCTGTTCATGAGGCACTAATGGTCACTGGCCTCACAACACCTGCTTTTCATCGGATCCCAAATACCAAGTTTATAAATTCCCAGTCTGGAGAGAACGTAGAGGTGACATCAAAACAATCCAAGTGTTTCCCTTAAATTACAACTTCCCTTACAAAAGAAATTTTTGCGACTTGTTCCCACCGTCTACCATTCCCACCCAACTGGGAGCGGAAGCAGGTTGTGATGGCAAGTTACCAGATCGAAGTCAACGAAACCTGTCTTCAAACTTACTTCCAATACTACTGTGCCACGTGACCCTGGGTAAGTCACTGAACCTCATTGGGGACTAGCTTCCATCAGTAAAATGGAAGCATCCTGCTCTGGCTCTATGATGGGGCGTGGAAAAGGAATTTGCAGGCTGCAAAGCACTGCTCAAGTGGGCCATGATATTCCTTTATTCCATCATTTTCTAGGGATGAGGGCTTCATCCCTATAGTGACCTTAATGCAGATGACTGACCAAGAATTAGTTCAGGAACATGTAGCTACTGCTTGCACCCTTCCCCAGCCCACTACCCACTACTTTCAACTATGTGTTGAAAGAAGTGATGATGGAGCGGGAGGACAACAGGATGAAGAGGTTGCAGTGGTGACTGTGTCTCTGTGATGTGATCCTGGGCAAATCATGGCCCCACCCTGGTTCTCAGCTTCTTCACTGCATATGAGAAGACTTGTCTAGATGAGCTTGAAAGTCATCCCTAATTCCCAACTGGACATTCCCAGAGTGAGCTGTTTGTTTCAGATGACCTAGCTGCTCAGCAGCACCTGGCCAGGCAATAAGGATGGGGGTGGCAGGCTGGAGACAGTAAGAGATGGAGCAGATACTGGCATGGCCCTGGGAATCTGCCATCAGGCCCCTGCAAGTGCCACTGGGCAGAGTGGGGACTGGAGGCACTCAGTGGTACCCCCAGCCCTAAACTCTGATGCCCCCCAGGCAGATGGTCGAGCTCTAACTAACAGACTGGCAAGGGAGAGGCTGTACTAGGGAGGAGAGAGGAAAACTCCCCAAAGGACAAGGGTGGGGTGGGGCTGACGCCTTCCCACATTCTTTTCTAGTGCCAGGGGTTGGTGAGAGGAGCAAGGCAGGGCTGGCTGGCTGGCTGGCGGGCTCACCAGATGGGAGCCCATGGTAGGAATACCCCTAAGGCAGCAAGGGAACACCAATGGGCTACCCTCACAGCGGGTGTGTTGGGTGTGGTCACTCTGGCAAGGGCAGGTCAGTCTCTGCTGGATGGGAAACTGCTTTTCACCACCCAAGGTTCTTGGGGACTCCAGTGGCTGGCTCCAGGGGAGTAAGAACATTTGTTACAATCCTCTCTGTGGAGCGCCCCTTTACTGTTCATCTCTCCTAAATGGACATCTCTCCTTTTCTCTCCAAACTCTTCCCTCTCAGAGGAGCAAATAATGCCTTAAACGGGACCCTGGAAGCAGATCACATAGGTTCCCTATTCTAGTCTCTGGGTGTGCCTTAACCCCCCCAAGGAAGGTGTGTGGGGGGGACATTCCCCTTTCCAGCGCCTCCCTCGGGCTTTCCAGCAGGAGCCCGGCGCGACGAGCCCGGCGTCCGCGCTAGGTGTCCCGGCCAGGTGAGTCTGCGGACGCGCCCAGGCGGGCTGGCTGCGGGGGTGGGGGCGCGGCCCGGCTCGGGGGCGGGGAGCGCGGAACTGGCACCGGATCTGGCGGACGTGGAGAAACCCCGGACTCACCCCACTAGAGGCGCCGACGGGCACCGGGCCCTCCCCTCCCCTCCCCAACTCCGAGTTCTCTCCAGTTCAGATACTCAACGCCCTCGGGGGAATAAAAAAAATCGAGACGAGCTAATCTTTCAGGTAGTTTCGAAGGAGCCTGGACTTTCTCACGGCGGCTCGGAATCACTCGGAGAAAATGGGGGCCCGAAAGTGCCCCCTGGAGGGTGGAAGGCGCCCCTGACCTCACAACCGGGGACCGGTCCTGGGCTCCGCGCTCCTGCCTGTGCAGGGCAAAAGCGCGAGAAACTCTGGGGTGCGCGCCCTCCCCGTGCGGGCAGAGCGCGCAGCCCCCCGCGCGGCCCCGGCCACTTGTGGGACCCCGCCCGGGCCCCCCGCCCTTGAGCTCCCAGAAAAGGCGCGCTCCGTGTCTGCCTTCCCCTCCTGGTCTCGGAGGGACTTGGGGTGGGCGCAGGCAGAACCCCCACCCCGCACCCCCGCGCAGGGAGACGCACCCTCCCGTCTCCACGCGCCAGCTCTTAGGGTCTCCCGCGCCCCCCAACCGGCTAAGCCAGGGAGGGGCCCCCACAACAGAGTGCCCGCCCCGCCCGGCCCGGGCCCCGCGGGGAGCCAGCAGGCGGCCGCAGGGCCTCTCCCGCCGCCCAGAGTCCCCCGGCGCGCGGGGTCCAGCCGGCCCCGCACGGCCGGCCGCGGGCAGGGTCGCCGGGGCGAACAGGTGGCCCCAGGAGAGGAGCGCGCGGCCGTCGCGCTCACTTACCCAGAAGATGAAGTTAAATCCAAAGAGCAGGTATTTGATGCACTTGGTGCCTCCCTTGACCGGCATGGTGTCAGCTAGACGGGTCTAGGCCGGGCGGCTGGGACCGGGGCGCGCGCGCTCGGGACGGGCGGGATCACACTCGGAACCGGGGTGCTGGCGGTGCACTGAGCGTCTCGGGCCGCACTTTTAAAAAACTGCCACTCCTTACGGCGCCCAGCAGGCTGCGGCGCGCATGTGCGCTGGCACGGCCCCCTCCCGCAGAGCCCGCCTCCCCCGGCACCTGCCCCGCCCAGGCCCCGCGCGCCGCGCCCCCCGGCCGGGGTTCCAGGGCAGGCGATCCCCGCTCGGCTGAGATAGGCCCCGGCTCAGCCTCGGCCAATGCCCCCTTCCCGCCACCCTCGCGCTCCCCTCCCCACGGCCCTGGGTGGTTCTAGAACGCCACTCCCTGCTGATCTGCTTTGGATTACGAGGAGGCCTCGCCGTGGGGTTCTCGCCTGTCAAATCCTGAGCCTCCCGCCCGAGCCCACTACTTTGGAATGCCTTTTCGGGGTCGCCGGGGTCAAGTTCCGCTGTCCGAGGCCGGCCGCCTGCACAAGGGGGGCTCTTCTGGCATTGACCTTGATTTGAAGGGAAGCTGCTAGGCTTTATTTTGCCCTGGGGCGGCTCCTTGCAATCCTCGTCTTCTGGAGCACCCCGGGCGGGGAGATGGATGGGGCTTTTGGGGCTTGTGGAAATCCTTCTCAAAAACCCATCAAGGACGGTCCCAGGGCCTAGGCTGGGCCGGGCTGGAGGGCTTTTGGCACGCGCGCTGCAGGTGCCCCGAGAGGGAGGGGGCGTGCAAGAGGCGCTCCCCACACCTTCCTCCTGCCCTTGGCCCCAGCTGATTGCAGCTCCCTCCGCAGGAGTGCCCGAGCGTATTTTCTCCTCCACGCAAAAACGTTCTGTACCTTCCCCGCATTCAGTGGCCTAAGTCGAAACGCCTCATCTTTCATCTGGTTCAGAACACTCTTTCTGTGCTACCTGGCACCCCACCATCGCCATCCCTTGGCCCAGCTCTGCCTCGGTGGTGTGTGCCTGTGGCTGGTGCCCACCCACTCCCACCTTGCAGAGATTCTATGGGACTCAGGCATTCCTTTCCTATTTCTCACCACGGCATGGGGAGATTCCCTCTTCCTGACTTCCCCAACCCCCCTTGTATTTCTTTCTGAGATGAAGTTTCCTTTAGTGTTTTTGTAGTTACAAAACAAAACATACTCAGACAGGAACAACAGAAAAATAGCAACAAGCAAAAAGAACATGACTCAAAATGTCATCCTCCAGAGCAAGCCAGTGTTAGCTCCTTGTAGCTCTTATTTCGCAATGTTATCATTGTTAGACTTGTCTCATTGATCCATTGATTTAGAAGAAATTTCTGTATCTATTTATGTGGGTATTTCATTCGGAGCTGAAAACAAAAATGGATTAGATCCTCTTTCTGCCCTCCAGGAATTCAGAGTGGGGGGGTGGGGATGGGGTTGGGGGAAGCCAGACAATACGATGACATTGCTGTGTAGGGGTCACACAGAGATAGGCTTGAGACTGCAGGGGCTCTATATCGGGGTTGTCCTGTAACATAAGGAGCGGTCCCTGACCCAGATTAGGAAATTGATCTCCTGCAGAGCCACAGGGAAATTGTATTCTCCAGAGACTTTTGGGCAAAGACAGCCTGGGGCCTCTGGGGCCTGGGTTGAAGTGTGTGGGGAGGTGAAGGTGGGCACCTAGCTAGGATGAGGTGAGGCCTCGGGTTCCCAGACCTTGCACACTGAGGCAAGGGCCTGAAGGATTCAAGCAGGGAGCCCTTTAATCATCTGTGTGGTTTCCTTAGGTGGGGGAGGGCGGGAGCGGCAGGCAGTGGGTTCCTTAAGGATAAGAACCATCATTTGTATCTCCAGGCTGGGGCTCAGAACTTTGGGGGATCAGAAGGAAAGTGGAGGTGCTGCCTCTGGCGAGTGCCAGTTAAGCAGTGTGAGGGAAGCAGGAGATGAAAGGTGAGCTGAGGATAGTGGGGAGGGCAGGTAGGAGGCTGTTTAACAGCTCAGGGGGAGAGACAAAGTGAACTAGGGTGGGGCATGGGATAGAGGCTGGAGCGAGGTGAAAGCAGAAGAGGAGGCAAGAGGAGTGGGGAGTGGAGGGACAGATGGGAGGCAGAACAGCAGGAGCCAGCCCATGGAGGACATCATTCATTCACTTCACTCATTCCTCTAATCATGCTTGAGAGCCTATGGGGGACTATATGCTGAGATGAAACTTCTCTCCCACACGGAAGGATCTCCACGTAGGCAGAGAGATCCACATTACCAGACAAGTACAAGCCCGTGGAATCTTTGCTCCTGTGGCACATGTGGCCTGGGGGCAGGTAGGGGCATGGGGCACATTCCTAAGCCGATTGAGTCAGGAGAGGCTTCCCAGAGCTGGAGAAGGGAACCCTGTAGCTGAGAGATAGAAGGTGGGGTCAGCCAAAAAGGCGGGGAGGGAATTCCAGACAGCAGGAAGTCAGTGTGGAAGCACCCAGCAGAAAACCACAGGCAACACCACAGGCAACCCGGGAAGCTGGGAAACTGCCCCAGGGTGAAGAAGGAAGGGCAGGAAGAGTTCCCTAGACTGGAGCCCAAGGCCAAGTGTGGCCACACAGGAATTTTGGTAATGTTTTACCTCAGACCCTCACCCTAATCAAGGGTCCAGGCAGTTGGTTGGGATGGAGCAGCAGGTGAGGCCCTGAGGGGAAGGTGGAGTAACAATGCCCCATTGTGTTGCCCCTGACCAGCCCACCCATCCATCTTGAGAGAATAGGTCTAAAGACCGAAATGTTTTGTGTTTTTTTTTTTTTTAAATGTTCGCCTCCATTAACAAGCACAGGTGGGAAGAGTTTAGTAAATATTTAAACTTTCAACAGAAACTACTTTACAGGGTTATCACGAGTATTGAATGAGCTGATCCACAAGGAGGCCCTCATGCAGTGGCTGCCAAGGAAACCCTGGCCATTGTCTGTGTTACAGTAAGTCCTCAGGTAACATTAGGTTTTTGGAAACTGCTACTCCCAGAGAAACTCCCTGTACAAAAGCGGTACCTCGGTAACCCTGTTTCCTTCCACAGAATCTGGGACTTTTTTGCCTCATCACTCTTATGATGAAAGGAAGTTGAATGAAGTGACATTATTATAGCCCTGCTGTACTACTATTCATGTAACAGAAACAATTAAGAGGCCTCCTGTTAAGAACCACATGACAGTCAAGAGGTCCTTGAAATGTGACTGACAAGACATAGATTCTTTATTTTGGGTGTGTCTTTTCCTCTCTCCAGGACTCAATCTCCTCATCTCTACCAGAAATATTTGGGATTATACACTGAAGCTCCCTCTGTCCTCACAGTCTGTGGTGCAATAAGTCTGGGTTAAAGAGTGTTTGTCATAGGCATTTAGTTCTACAGGCAGCCAGGAAAGGAAGATGGAAAAAATATGGTTTGCCTTAACTGGAAGGGGAAAATTTGGGTAAGCCCCTGAGTCACACATCACATGGGGGCAGTGAGATCTTCCAGGCTTTGTGGCGTTGGATGGGAAAACTTTTCCTCCCTTCCTTGGGGGCATCCTGTTTCTGGAATATCCCCCCCTCCCCCAATATTCCGTTTTGGCTCTTGTGCCCCCCCTGGTGGTAAGATTTCAACACACAGCTCATGACCGGCCACACCCATCTTCCAGGGAGTGCTCCTCCCTCCCACTAGGAGATGCAAGAGGACAACACCCCCTTTCACACACGACCAAGGCCCTCCCAGCCACCACACCAATGGCCATTTTGGGACTTAAAAAAAATAGTTTCCTTGATGCTGCAGCAGCATTTGACCAGGCTGTGCCATCTTGGTTAACTTCCTTCACTTCTAGAAATTGCTGCTCCTCTTACTGAGCGCAAATGCTACCACTTCATGAAGTTTTCTTTCGAGTATTCCAGTCTTTACTTCCATGGATTACTTTGTTTGAATCTCTCTCATGCATGAAACCTGTTCCCTAATGTGCACCCATTTAGCTGGAGAGTTCCTCCCCCAAATGCCTATATTTGACTTATTTCTGTGTTCTCATTAACATCCAGGCCCTTGCTAGGCTGGGTGTTATGTGCAAACGTGTGTGAAAACTTCAAGGAAGTGGGTTTTCCCCAGGCTTCAGTCCTCAGCCCTCTCGGCCACCCCACCACCCTTCCCAAACTCAGGTCACGGTATGACGCCCTGTCAGGCCTTTCCACTTTGATGCCCCCCCTCCCCCTAAATCAGTGACAGTGCTACCTTCCACAGCAGGAGGGATTTGCTTGTGAGATTAAGTTAAGGATCTTGAGAGAGAGGTTTTCCTGGGTTATATTATATCGGTGAGTGCAGTGTGGTCACAAGGATCCTTATTAAAAAAGGGAGGGCAGAGCCTGAGAAGAGCGTGGCTAGATGCAGAGGTGGGTGTGATGTGGGGCCACATGCCAAGGAATGCAGGCAACATCTAGAAACCCAAAGGACAAGAAAACAGATTCTCCCCTATAGCTGCCAGGAGAAGCAAATGTAGCCCTGCCCATGCATTTTTAGACTTCTGGCCTTTATTTCTATTTTTCATCAGCACACAGCAAGTTTATTGAGGAAAAGAGTAAAAGGAAAGAGACGTCTGCACAGACACAGACGAGAGCTGCCGACTTCTGACCTTTAAAACTGTAAAGTAATATGTGTTATTTTAAGCCACTGTATTTGTGGTAATTTGTCATGGAAGCGTAAGAAACTGAATATAGTTACCTCAAAGTAAACATCAAGACAAGAATTCCTGCGCTTCAAGGGCCTCCCTAGACCTGAAACCAACTTCTCATTAGCCCACCCCTTCCTCACTAGCCATCACCTGAACCTCAACCTGGGATTCCTTTCCCTGGTCTCACATCTGCTCGTGAATGTGGTTCTTACTTTCTATTATCTCCTGTGTGTTGCAGGCAGGCACCACCAAGGCTGTACGGTTTAAAGATAAGGAAGTAAGCGTAGGGCAGGAGAGTGTGTTTAGTAGCAAAGGAAGATCATACTGACTCCGGGCTCATTTTCAGCCTTGTGCCCTCCCCACCCCCTGTCCTCACCCATGATAGGGCCACATCCTGGAAAGTTTCCTTCACACACACACACCTGCCCCCCACCCACCGCCCATCATTCACTTGT